AATGAATAAAAAACGGTTGTAAAATGTTTGACAATGTGCTTTCATGCTTTGTAAACGAAATCCAAAATAAAGCAACTGAATTAAGCGCCTTTATATAATTTTTCGTTAAAATGATATTTTCATAGATTCACACGTTTGTGGATAGTGAACTCGGCAGCGAGGAGATCTTGCAACAATCGTAACACAACTGTTTGTAATTGAAACTTTAATTCATTCTTTGTATACAGTAACAAGTTGTCAATCTCCCCTGCTATGGAAGCCACTTCACCTCCAGATATGAAGAGAAAGCGCCGACAAATTAATGGTTTTGGTAATGTACCTCTTAATGTTTTATTATTCATTTTTACCATTAGAGAAAAAACACTTAAGATGGCTAGTGGGGGAGAACTATACGTAGAACTATGCTAAAACAGAACTTTACACAAAACTTAGGTTAGTCCTTGGAACTTGAAATATGATCGTTTACACTTTATTATAAGCAACTTGCGCTGCATTCATATAACATGAACGCAGAAATCTGTTAACGAAAGAAAGTAATCTGATCTCTTTTTGAAGAAGTCTCACTCTAGAAGGGGATATCATATTGGGAACTGGGAATCTGCAATAAAGTCCTTTGTACTTTATCACATCTAACATGTATAGATGGTTTTCACAGTGACGTCATCAAATTGTAAAGTCAAAATAGCGAATTGAAGTTTAACGAATTCTTATTTACACCGGGTTGAAGATAAACAAAAAGTAAATCTTTGTACAAGTTTCAATTCCCGTAGCACGTTTCATTTCGAAAATACAACAATTTGAACTTCCGAGTTTTCACAGTGCGTGACACCAAAATAAGAATGTTGTCTCGTTGAAAAAAAAGTCTCTGCTCTTGATTTTCAGCACTATAACCATTTCAAGTATTAGAAGATATGTTTATGGTCACGAATTAAACAAGTTTAACCGGCGCCTCTTTTTTAACGAACGTTAACAATTTTCGAGGACCTAATTCGCACGTTTTTACGTTTCTTCAATCACCGTATTTATTAAAATCTAACGATCAGCTCCAAGCGTTCGATTTATTTTCCGCATTCGACTTTCTCTTTTGTCGCTTTCTAATGCGTTGAAAGCTGTCGTTTATTGTGGTCACGAATCAGAGGATCACAGTTAAAATGAGTAACTAATTATTTTAGATGGTTAAGTCTTTGCCGTCTTATGGAGAAGAAACTGATCATCGGTGAAAGTGCCACCTCCTAACACATTTGGTTTTAAAACAATTAACAAACTGACTGACACACAAACATACTTTCATAGGGGTAAAATAGAATTGCTGGTGATCCAGTAGATTCTACTGTGGCCAAACAAAAGGTACTTAGAGTTGTTACAACTATAGGAGCTATAAAACCGTAAAAAGGAGCAATAAATATCCTATGAAGCTCTATGAAACTTGCTGTAATCAACGATCACAATCATTACCATCATTGCTACTAGCAATAATGCAATCAATACTATTATTTAATTATATCACTAAAACAAAGAGATAAACGTGACAATTAAATTGAGAATGAAAATAATGTAGTGTACTTTTATTTTACATCGATGAGCAATTGACTGTATATCGTTTCACTTTGCTGGTTAAACTTGTTATGGTCTTTCTCTTTAATCGGCCATATTTAGTGAAAGCTACCGATCAGCTGCGAGCGTTCGATTCATTTTTTGCATTCAACTTTCTCTTTTGCTTTTCTTACCTTTTAATGCGACAAGAACCATCGTAGTATGGTCACTAATTAAACTAGTTTGGAACAACCGAAAGGGGCGGTGACGCCGTAAGGATCACACTTAAAAAATGTGTGACTAATCATTTTTTGCCGTTTTATGGAGAAGAAACTGACCATCAGTAATAGTGCCACCTCCTCACACATTCGTTTTTGAAACAATTAACAAACCGGTTTGCTCGCCCAAATCGGGCGTTAACGCTGTATGAAACACACTGTAAGGGCTGTTTCAAACATCTTGCTACTGCCATGTTAAGCTGGCTCGACTGTGGCTCGACTGTAGCTCGACTGCAGCACTACTTGGTTTTAGACGTAGAATTTAATTCAGTCGAATAGAACGGCTGTTGCTGAAAATAAAACACAAAAATAAAGAAACGGTTAACCAAACTTTTAAATGTATTCTAATGTATTTATAATTTATGAATTGAGTTCGGCACGGCAGTAGCGCGACGTTTGAAACCAAGTCGAGCTACTGCCGTGTAGCACGGCAGTTTTTGTTTTTTGTTTTTTTTTTTTGCCGTTCTCCTTGCCGTCGCCGTCGTCGTTGGTTTTGTTGTCCTCCAAAAATAGTGCTACCATGGTAACATGACGTCATTCTTCTCCTCTCTATTCTCATGCAAATGAAACTCAAGTTGTGCGCTTGGCCATGGGTAGCCTGCGTAGCAAGCGAGAAATTTAAACGAGAACCAAAAAATGAAAGAGGGGGAAGGGAAAGAAGGAACAGCTGATGACAGCATCAAATATCGGTGCGTGAACCGTCAGGCATGACAGGCCTAGTGGGCGGTTTTCAAATCGAGGGGTTTGTCTGCAAGCGTTTCCTTCCTTTCTTCCCCACCCCCTCCCCGCTCTTTTACTTGCGCCATTTTTCGCGCGGTCTTTGACTCTTGTTCCTCGTTCTTTCCTCCTAAACCGCACAGAAACGCTTGCTACGCAGGCTAGCTTGAACATGGGTAGCCTGCGTGGCAGGTGCAAAAAGGGGAGGGGGAGGGGGGAGGCAGAAAAGCCCTCTCTCTTTCCCCAGACCCCCTCCCCTTTTCCCTTCCTCCCTGTCGGCTACCCGTTTCGACGCAGGCTAGCCATCAGGGCGGATTGTTCAAAGCTGGGTTAAGATAACCCTGAGTTAGTGCGAATTTGAACTCAGATATGAGAGCTTAAAAAGCAAATTCAGTTAAATTCTCTTTACCTACAATTTGACAGGAGAATTGAATTTGATGATTGGATACTCTAAAAAGAACAGAGAAAATTATCCGAGAAGGTGTTTTTGATAAAAAGATAAAGAAACCCGCGTTAAAACTTAACCCCGGGTTAGCGTCACACCGCTGTCAAATGTCTGAGCATGCGCGAAGAATTTCGTCGGGTTTGGAAAAGCTACACACATGTGGCTACGTCTCCTTGCGGCAAGAACAGGGAAATATTCTTTGTATTTCAAGAAAGGTCACTGGCGATGAATAGGAAGAATAAGAGGAACGTATAATATGAAATGTAAGTAAGAGTTCAGTAAACTTCCCTTTGTCAATCATAATATTCCCCAACTGCTCGTATGCTCTAATGTTGACCAATGATCTTGAAGATACCCGGCAGCCGAGAACTGTTGTCAAAAAACTAGATACACGGCGGTTAGAAATTTTGTACTGGGTTTTGCTGAGTGAACATCTCCTCGTACAGGAAGGGTTTTTAAGGTAATAGAAAAATTGTGATGGTGCCAAACCACGCATGCTTTGGTCGTTGCTATTGGGAAGGTTTGTCCATCATCTTAAATTCACCTATAAACATTGAGAATTGTATGCCACATTAAGTGTTGAGAACCTCCATGTTTGGAGCTTGTTTGAATAATTTGTTGATGAACCAAGCAGCAGACATTTGAATAGTGGAAAATTGACTCTCTTAATGATTCTATCCATGTGTCTCTATAGACCCTTGTCAGGCAATGTTTTACCCATTTGCAAGGGTCAACTTTAAACTTTTTATGACTTTGTCACATGTCTTACCTTTAAATTGGATGAAATTAAAAATGAAATTTATATGAACTAAAGGAAACTATAAATTTACCAATATCATGATGAAATGACATGATGCATAACTGCTCTTATATTGTGCCTTGACAAAAGCCACAGAACTTCTTCAGTTGGCAAACCACAATATACTCGAGCATATCTGTCTTTAAAAGGTGGATTTTCAGGGGTATTTTTGGTACAGGGCTTTGGCAGCAGTTGACTGTGAAGCCCATCAAACACTTTGTATTCATATTCCTCCAACTTCTCTTTTTTGATATTTACTTTGTTGCAATCCTTGGCCAACACGTCTGTCATTATGGCTTTGTTTCTATCTCTTGTCAGTCTTTTTGGAAATAATAGTAATAATAATAATAGTAATAACAATAATAGTCTTAAATTACTTCATAAGATAAAAACTACATATCTTATGTTACAAAACTTCCAATTTAAACTAAGTGAATTTAAAATAAATACAGAGCTATTACACACAATCGTGAGTGAACACTTGATATAGGAGGGTTTTGAAGGTAATAGAGAAATTATGATATTGCCAAACCAAGCGCAACACTCAAGTCTTGCATGCTTTGGTCATTGCTTTTCGAAAGGTTTGTCCACCATCTTTAATTCGCCTCACAGGAGCATTTCACTCAGTGCCCCGCCAAAAACAAAATTTTTCCGCTTACTTACCTCTTTTAACCACTTTTCTTGTGTCGCAACACTTCTGGCCAATACTCTTGGCTAAAGTCTCTTTAAGACTTTGCTTTTCGCCCACCGGTACGTTAAATTTTTTAAATACATACTCTGCAATTAGAAAAATTAGAATAATTTTGCCATGGCCACAACATGAAGCTTTAGTGAACCTTCTCTGTACAAGAATGTAATTCACTTAATCCACTTGGCAACATGACGCCCCAACACAGTTGCATATAGTGTTTACCTTGCAGGCCTCCCTCTCGTCCATCCCGCCCAATCCGCTTTTCGAAAGGTTTGTCAACCATCTTTAATTCGCCTCACAGGAGAAGTGTACACCATGTTGAGAAACTCCAAGTTTGGAGCTCGTTGGAATACATTGTTGATGAACTAAGCAGCAGGTGATTAAGATTGATCTCTTGAGTGAACACCTGATAAGTGGGGTTTTTTAAGGTAATAAAGAAATTATTATATCGCCAAACCGAGAAAAACACTCAAGTTTTGCATGCTTTGGTCGTTGCTTTTGGGAAGGTTTGTCAATCATCTTTAGTTCTCCTCACCTGGAAACCTGGTTGGACATGTACCAAAGGAATTATCAAGGCTCTTTCATAAGTTCCTAAATGATTCTGGAGAACTTGAAGCAGAATGTATTGGAAATAGGCTTAATGCTGGGAAAGGAAAAGGGGTTGAAATCCCTGTGGACTACAGACTTGTGGCCAATGATTTCTATGTGGGAAGGCTCAAGAGGAAATTATCGAAGAAGGACTTTGTTGATGATATCAACATCAGTAAAATTCAGCAAATAACAGAAACTGGCTTAACGAGATAAAAAAACGCTCATTGTTCATATATATCTATCAGCCACAAGCAAAAACAATTGATGTGCTGTATCTCAAGGATCTATCACTTTAAATGATCTCACATTGACTTGAGAAGCTGAAGCACTGCCCATTGGGAGCTTACTTTGTTTTGATATTTTGCCATTATCTATTTCACTGGGATATATTTTTATATTTTATATTTAATATCTTGTGATTCTGACAGAGTTGGAGATGGTCAGAAAACTTTTTTTGATACTGCCTTAGTAGGTACTTGCAAATACTTGAGGAATTATTTGAATGGCAAACACAATAGACATACAACACGGTACTTTAGCTTGAAAGAAAAAACAATGTTATGTCAAGTTACTTTTAAGTATAATCAGATGATGATCTTAATTCAGCAGCTTCTACCTATACACTTTTACAGTAACTCCACTGATAAGAACCTAACTTAAAATTTTAGCCTTAAAAGGTTCTTATGTGGAGGGGACTTAAAATGAAAATTTTAGCCTAACAGATTCTTAAAATGACCCAGGTTCTTATACGCGGGGTTTTACTGTATCTTGATCCACTTCAGCTAGAGTTGTGTTTTGCTGAGTTGTTATTGGATCTACTTTTACTACTGGAGTTTGTTTTCACAGCAAGTTCATGAGATATTTATGTCTGTAGATGTTACACAGTCAGAGGTACACATTGAAAGGTACTTTTTTTTTGCTCCAGGGTTTTTTGCTCACATGTACTGAATGAATCCTGAAAATATAGATTGTTTGTTACAGTCAAACCAGCATCTGGGCAGTGGAAGGAAATTTAAGCTCAGAATCACAAAACGGAATTTCTGCGGACCTAAGGCATTAAAATTTTCCGGGGAATGAATGCCTTATACCCGAGGCTGAAGCGTGATTGTCAATCTTGACAAAAATACCACATTAGGAACCCCTCTGTGAAAAACTGCTGGCTACGCCCCCGAGTTAATGGTTTTCGTATCGTTGCTTTCAATCTTTTTTTGACCTGCATGACTCGCTGCTATGGCTCGCATGTCTCGCAGGCTCGCAAAGTGCTTATACTTCCTTCCCAGGATGTTAATGGAGCACCAAGTGAAAAGCACTCTTTCTACAACAAACACTGTTACAAACTATTAGATAGTAAGTATAACATTTGGCAAAAGCAAGCTTACCGCTCTGTCATTCAACAGCTCATCGTTTTGAAAAGAAAGATGGGATATTTCCTAAGGTGGAAGAACATGGAACATTGAAAAGTTAGAGTTTAGATTAATTTTCGAAGTGGCAGACAAAAATCAAAGTTTTAAGCCACCCAAAACAACAGTTTTAAAAAACAATAACAAAAGGAAAACAAAAAGATAACTCAGACATATACTGTTTTAAAAAGTGTAACTTTAGAGTAGACTGGTCAGTACAGTTCACTCTTCCTTATTATTAGAAGGACAACTAATGTTTGTCCCTTTCATACCATTTTTTAGTCATTTAACTGAAACTTGACTCTCTTCAAGACAGACATCTCTCTGTGACGGAGACATTTTGACCCAGTCCCTACGCTGTCCGTCTTAGAGAGAGACAATATTTGCACAGACCAAGAGCCGCACAGACCCATATAATCATCCAGATGCATGTGCAGATATTTTTGGGATGCGAACCACCTTTGGTTTACTGTATAGGATACTTACTCCTACACAATAGTCTCTGTCCTCTGCAATTTTTGTGAGACAACAAAGCATCTTTTCCTTAAAAGCTACCAGTTCTCTGAAAAGTAGAAAATACATGTACATTAAAGCTAACTTGTCTGTAGTTCAACTTATCGAAAACGGATGACAAAATCATGAGTTAACATATTGTTTTCATCGTGTGGGATCAAATGTAAGAAGGCAACATGAACAACATCTAGCAAGTCCCAAGATCCTATCACTAATGATATGTGTACCAGTAAGTCGGCGTTATTTTAGTAAGATTAAAGTGTAACTACAGAAACCAGGGCACTCTTAAAAGTTTTCTACAGCTAGTTGAGCCAATAAGCAGCTGGTATTTACTTACTCTGTGTTATAATCCACTAATTCCTCTGATGTTGGGAATTGGATTACGGCCTCTTCACCAGAAGTTATCAGTTGAATTTTCTCCATAATATGGAATTGTTCGGGAATACTCATCGTATCCCGAATGACAAACAGGAAGTGTTCCCTGTTATCAGACTAAAAATAAAAGTTACAAAAGACTTTTGTGAACCACCGACCAAGGTGTAAACATATTAGAATTTATTTTCAAGGATCAATTTCGGAGTGCAAAAAATGCAGACTTGCAGTCTGGCAGGTAAAATTTGTTCTAAAATGCTTTTATTAATTATTTAAGTACCAGTTTGGCTACAGAAAAAGCCATTCTACTGAGCAAGCGATTATGGAGGTCACTGATAATCCGAAGGCCTCTATTGACAGTAACCTTGTATCTTGTGGCCTCTTCTTAGATATCTCAAATTATTTGATAAAGTAAATCATTAAATATTGTTAGATAAACTCTCTAAATATGGTGTCCGTGGCAGGCCACATGATTGGTTTGCAAGTTATCTGCTAGATCGCAAGCAATTTGCCAATTCATCCAACCAAGACATATACCATAAACGATCTATTTGGCTCAGAAATCGCACTTGAAAGTGTTTAATTTGCTGCTCGCACGATCTTCTGCCATTAACGCTTCGATCTCGTTAATCACGTGACGTTACGTCACACTTGTGGAACAAATAAATGATCTCTTATATGGCCTACTCTAGTTCTTTAAGTGATAGCTCTACCCTTTTCGTCCGATTATTCAGATATAGAAAAACTTTTAGAAGGCGAAGCACCCGAAAGTATAGGGTAGCCCTTCAGAGGGATTCAACCCTGGCGTTTTGAGCCGCCTGGAACTAGATCTCACGAGGCTGACAAAGTTCGTGAGTCGCCTGAAAGTCTGCAGTGTACGTTTTTTCATACACCGTTTATGTCAAGTTACTTCTAAGTATAATCAGATGATGATCTTAATTCAGCAGCTTCTACCTATACACTTTTACAGTAACTCCACTGTTAAGAACCTAACTTAAAATTTTAGCCTTAAAAGGTTCTTATGTGGAGGGGACTTAAAATGAAAATTTTAGCCTAACAGATTCTTAAAATGACCCAGGTTCTTATACGCGGGGTTTTACTGCATCTTGTTCCACTTCAGCTAGAGTTGTGTTTTGCTGAGTTGTTATTGGATCTACTTTTACTACTGGAGTTTGTTTTCACAGCAAGTTCATGAGATATTTATGTCTGTAGATGGTGCAGAGTCAGAGGTACACATTGAAAGGTACTTTTTTTTTGCTCCAGGGTTTTTTGCTCACATGTACTGAATGAATCCTGAAAATATAGATTGTTTGTTACAGTCAGACCAGCATCTGGGCAGTGGAAGGTAAATTTGTTCCTTGCTTTGCATAATTATGCTGCTTGACAATTAAGAACTACTGTCCCATCTGACTCTCTTTTGAAGACGTTTGAGAAACTCTTTAATGTCAGAATAATCCAAAGAAAGTAATGGAGAAATTGTGATGGTGCCAAACCACGCATGTTTTGGTCGTTGCTATTGGAAAGGTTTGTCCATCACCTTAAATTCACCTAACATTAAGAATTGTATGCCATGTTGAGAAACTCCATGTTTGGAGCTTGTTTGAATAATTTGTTGATGAACCAAGCAGCAGACATTTGAATAGTGCAAAATTGATTCTCTTGATGATTCTATCCACGTGTTTCTATAAATAGACCCTTCTCAGGCAATGTTTTACCCATTTGCAAGGGTCAACTTTAAAGTTTTTATGACTTTGTCACATGTTTTACCTTTCAATTGGATGAAATTAAAAATGAAATTTATGAGAATTGAAGGTAACTATAAATTTACCAATATCTTGATGAAATGACATGATGCATAACTGCTCTTATATTGTGCCTTGACACAAGCCACAGAGCTTCTTCAGTTGACAAACCACAATATACTCGAGCATATCTGTCTTTAAAAGGTGGATTTTCAGGGGTAGTTTTGGTACAGGGCTTTGGCAGCAGTTGACTGTGAAGCCCATCAAACACTTTGTATTCATATTCCTCCAACTTCTCTTTTTTGATATTTACTTTGTTGCAATCCTTGACCAACACGTGAGTCATCATGGCTTTGTTTCTATCTCTTGTCAGTCTTTTTGGAAATAATAGTAATAACAATAATAGTCTTAAATTAATCCATAAGATAAAAACTACATATGTTATGTTAGAAAACTTCCAATTTAAACTAAGTGAAGTCAAAATAAATACAGAGCTATTATTCACAATCTTGCATGAACACTTGATATAGGAGGGTTTTTAAGGTAATAGAGAAATTATGATATTGCCAAACTAAGAACAACACTCAAGTTTTGCATGCTTTGGTCATTGCTTTTCGAAAAGTTTGTCCACCATCTTTAATTCGCCTCACAGGAGCATTTCACTCAGTCCCCTGCCAAAAACAAAATTTTCCCGCTTACTTACCTCTTTTAACCAGTTTTCTAGTGTCGCAACACTTCTGTTCAATACTCTTTGCTAAAGTCTCTTTAAGACTTTGTCTTTCCCCCAATGGTATGTTAAATTTTTTAAATACATACTCTGCAATTAGAAAAATAAGAATAAGTTTGCCATGGCCACAACATGAAGCTTCGTGAACCTTCTCTTTACAAGAATTTAATTCACTTAATCCACTTGGCAACATGACGCACGCACGCAGTTGCATATGGATGGTTGAAGAAAAAGCAATAGTGTTTACCTTGCAGGCCTTCCTCTCGTCCATCCCGCCCAATCCGCTTTTCGAAAGGTTTGTCAACCATCTTTAATTCGCCTCACAGGAGAAGTGTACACCATGTTGAGAAACTCCAAGTTTGGAGCTCGTTGGAATACATTGTTGATGAACTAAGCAGCAGGTGATTAAGATTGATCTCTTGAGTGAACACCTGATAAGTGGGGTTTTTTAAGGTAATAAAGAAATTATTATATCGCCAAACCGAGAAAAACACTCAAGTTTTGCATGCTTTGGTCGTTGCTTTTGGGAAGGTTTGTCAATCATCTTTAGTTCTCCTCACCTGGAAACCTGGTTGGACATGTACCAAAGGAATTATCAAGGCTCTTTCATAAGTTCCTAAATGATTCTGGAGAACTTGAAGCAGAATGTATTGGAAATAGGCTTAATGCTGGGAAAGGAAAAGGGGTTGAAATCCCTGTGGACTACAGACTTGTGGCCAATGATTTCTATGTGGGAAGGCTCAAGAGGAA